GGACTCAAATAGGGATAATGGCAGGGATTCCCTGACTTCTGCCCTAATCCTGACTAAAGTATTTACTGAGCCCCAGACATGTACCAGGCCCTGGACACAATCATACAAAAAGAAGTTACAGCACTAACAAGGAAGCAAAAGCTTGAAAGCACACCTCTAGGAGTAGTGGGGGTGGGACTCAAACTCAAGGCTGCTTCTGGAGCCTGTGCTCATTTCAGTAAACAATGCTACCTCTCTGCAAATCAAGAGGTCCCTGCTTCACACCTGAGTAACATCTCAGAAAAACAAAACAACAAACAAAAAACAATCTTCCTGTGTCCAAGTGGGATAGAAAACCATACATCCATTATGAAGCTGGAACTTAAGGCAGGCTTGAACCTTCAACCTCTTCCCCCAGGATGGCAGGTGAGAGGCCAACAGATTCAGGAGTTAGAAAGCAAGAAGCTGGTTACCCGGGAACCAGAGGCAGGGCTCAGACAGAGTGCCTGGCCATGATGGTTCACCATGCCTCACAGACCAGCAGAGGCCTGCAGGCAGCTGCTCCCCAGCTCCATGGTGCTATGAAAGACTTTGGTGATGCCTTGGGCATTCACTTGTGTTACCTGGGAACACTTCTGTGCCCAGTTTAAAAAAAAAATGGGTTCCTATAAAAGGGTGGCATCTATGAGCCAGGAATTGACAGGATTCCTTCTTTTTTTTTGCCAGCCTTACAGAGAGATCTTTGAGTTCTTCATAGAGGATTTCAAAACATATAAACCATTGCTATCCTCCATCAAGAATGCATATGAGGTGATGCTGGGTAAGAACACAGCCCCTCTCATGAGCCCAGCCTACAATGGATACAGAAGATTCTATTCTTTCTGAAGCTCCACAGCAGGGTTGGGGAAACTACTAATTGGGATTTGAGGTCACTTTTGTATGCACTGTTCTGTGATAGGGCTCCCCAGAGGACATCACCTCCTCTTGTCCTTGAGAGGGAACCCCAGAAGAGTGAGCACCTCTGGGAAGTGAGGTGGTCCTTTACCAGACTCAAAAGGTATAAAGCAGTTTGTGGCTTTAGGACTAAAGATGCAGGGCTAAGTGTGTAGTAGCAACCCTGATCCTCATTTGGACTCTGCCCTTGCTTTTAAAGCAAGTGTGAGAAGGTCTAAACTAGGAACCATGGCATTTAACAGGCAAGTGTAGACTCTTGGTGTTTGCAAGTGATAGCCACTTACCCATGACCTTAGGATCTGTCTCCTGGCTGCTCTTCATGGCTCCAAAAGGACTCTTCCATCCATCCCTGCTTAGCCCACCAAAGGGAGAAGATTCGTGCCCTGGAGCCACTGAAGGCCAAGCTTGTCACTCTGAACGAGGATTGCAATGAAAGAATCATGGCTATGAGGGCTGAGGAGAGGTATGAAATCTCCATGCTCAAGAAAGAGAAGATGAATTTGTTAAAACTCATTGACAAAAAGAATGAAGAGAAGATCTCATTGCAGACAGAGGTGAATGAAAATGATGTACTGACCAAGTCCCTGAATTCCTGCCCCCTCATGGTGACCTTATGCACAAGGCTACTTCTAACCCTATCCACCCTCCATCTACCTTTTTAACCCCTCCCCAGAGCCTCTGTTACCTTTACCCTCTGACCTGCTGCAGGGCTCAAAACAGGTTTGGTGTGGCCCTGAGTGCCAGCAGACTTTCTTCACAGGAGGAAGCACTGGCATCTTGTTGGGTTCTTGGGAATGCTGCTTTCCTTCTTCAACCTTTCTTATTCCTAAGCTGAGGACCACCCAACACCCATCCCACCCCTGTATCAACTGGCTGCCTATAGGGATCCACAGAAAGCTCCTGACTACACAACCACTGTCCTAGCAGGTGTCCAAACTGAGGAAGAACTTGGCTGAGGAGTACCTGCACTACCTCAGCGAGCGAGATGCCCGCAAGATCCTCATTGGAGATCTGAATGAGCTTCGGTACCAGCGGGAGGACATGTCACTAGCCCAGTCCCCAGGTAACCTGAGTCAGGAGTCTCTCCCCTCTCAAAGGGCTGGAGAAAAGTCTGGCTCTCATCACTCACCCCCATTCATTCAAGATTTGTAATATCTGCTCATTCTGTACCCATACATGGTGGGACATGTCCCTTTTACTAACGAGGGTTGTGAATCTTTTGAGTAGGACTGAGAATCATGGGATCATTAAGTAGGAATACTCCTAGCAGCTGAGATAGCCAGGGCTCCCTGTGGACCAGACAGGCCTAGTAACACATGTGGTGGGTTTCACTACTTAAGCATGAACCCCTAGGCTGGTAGCCATGTGGATAAGACACGGGGGATTCAAGGCAGATAAGGCAGAAAAATCTTGGGTATGCTAAGGGATACTCAACCCAGGCCTGGGCTACAAACCCCAGAGTCAAGGTGACACAGGCTGATGGGTCCCCTGGCAGGCGTCTGGGGGGAGGACCCCGTAAAGCTAACCCTGGCTCTGAAGATGACCCGGCAAGATCTGACCCGCACACAGATGGAACTCAACACCATGAAGGCCAACTTTGGAGATGTGGTACCCAGGAGAGACTTTGAAATGCAGGAAAAGATTAACAAGGATCTTCAAGAGCAGGTGCTGGTGGGCAAGCAGGGCCAGGAATGGTAGGGCAGGGTTAAGCAGGTGGGTGGCTAGAACCAATCACCTTATCCACAGCTGGACAGTCTGCGAGCTGATTATGAAGAGGTCTGCAAGGAGCATGATTCACTGCTACAGATGCACATGAGCACACTGAAGGAACGAGACCAGTTCTTTTCTGAGCTGCAGGAGATCCAGCGTACGTCCACACCACGACCTAACTGGACCAAGTGTGAAGGTAATAATGACTTTCCTAGCCTCAGGGTCTGCTAAAAGACATGAACTGGACTCCAGGTCCTTCTCCCCTTCTGCAGATGTGGTGGCTGGAGGCCAAGAACGCTGGCATATGCTGGCAGCAGACAAGAACAGTGACCAGCTGGTTGATGTGCTACTGGAGGAGATTGGCGAAGGCCTGCTCCGGGAGAAAGACTCCTTTCCTGGTCTGGTAGGGCATTCCTAGCAGGAAGTTTGGGTCAAAGTCAGAATAGTCAGATTGTGCTACTAAGGAGAGTTGAACTTTAAAGGAGACCATCTGGGGCTCTTCCCTGCTTGGAGGTGGGGATATCAGGTAGCCCAGACATGAGCGGACACCATGCCTTCCAGGGTTATGGGGAAACCATCCCCACTTTCCTTCGGTTTGATGGCCCTGTGGAGAACAAGAAACCAAGCAAGAAGGAAGTGGTAAACATCCTTAAGGATGTCTGGAAGGAACGTCTGGCACAGGAACAGGTCAGCTCTCACCAGTCATGTTGGCCCAGTGTGGCCTTATATCAAGTTCTCTAGGGGGTCCCCTCATGGTGCTAGGGAATAGGGGTGGGTCAGCCAACCCTGGGACATGCTGACCAAGCATCCTCCCCACTCTGTAGAAAGAAAAGTTTCCAGATTTCTTCTTCAATTTCTTGGAGCGTCGCTTTGGGCCCAGTGATGCCATAGCCTGGGCTTATACCATTTTTGAGAATATCAAACTCTTCCACACCAATGAAGTCATGAGTCAATTCTATGCAGTTCTAATGGGAAAGGTAAGCTTGGACCTGGTCCCTACCTGGTTTCCTCAGGGAGACAGAGGGACCTTTGTCTTCAGCATAGCCCAGCACTGCCCCCATCACTCCACAAAGCAGCAAGTTAGTGAATGATTTCCTTTCTATAGAGGACAGAGAGTGTGTATATCAACCAGAAGGAAACAGTAGCCCAGCTGCAAAAAGAGATGACCAATGCTGACAGTCAGAACGAGGGACTACTAAGCATGGAGCAGTTCAGGTAAGAGGCCAGTCCTGGCCACACCAAACTTCGGCACCTCTCCTCTGGCCAGGAATACAGGGAAAAAAGAAGCCTGGCAGGAACAGTCATAGCCTCAGAGATTGCTGTTCTTCTGTACACTAATGGGGATGGCAGAAAAGGGTGTGGGGAATTGGGTGGGCAGCCTCTGCCAGTCCTCTTGTTTGTCCTTTTGTTTCCCCATAGCAACATCCTTAAGAGCACTTTCCCCCTCAAGAAGGAAGAGCAAATTCAGGAGCTGATGGAGGCAGGGGGCTGGCATCCCAACAGCAACAGTTCAGACTTGTTCAACTACCGCTCATTGTTTATGGAGGTAGGTAGGGAGTCTAAGAACTTGCCCAGCTCCTACCCTAGCCTTGACTGGCCCCCATTCAATGTGGCCTCACCCTGCCTGGTGGCCTCTTCCAGAATGAGGAGGGCCAGAGTGATTCCTTTGTGCAAAAGCTGTGGCAACAGTATGTGATTGAGAAGGATGAGTACCTACGTGAACTAAAGCAGGAGCTGGGCCTGGAACTGTGAGTGACCCTGGGGCCTATAGGTCCACTTGGCCATTGGTGATTCCCACACAAGTCAAGTTCCACAGGGTGGCATCTCAGGCCCCTGAGTGCACTGAGCTTTCTGCTGGGCACTATAAACTGCTCAAGTCCAACAGAAAGGAGAGCACCTTAAGAGTTTGGGCTACAGAGAAGAAGGCTCAAGCCTGTTTCTCTTCTTTTTTTGTGGGGCAGCCATAATGAGGTGACCCTATCCAAGATGCGTAGGGCCTTGATGAACATTGATCCCAACCTGGACAAGCAGACTTTGAGCACCTACCTGAGCCAGGCATTTCAGCTCCCCATATCAGAACTTCCAGAGGAAGGCAACGAGGTGGAGGAGGGCACCAAACTATGTCTCAGGCTTGCACTGGAACAGCTTCAGATGGCTGATGTCAAGCGCATAGGGCCTCGGGACATAGAGCCTACAAGCTAGGACCATCATGGATCGGATGAGAGCTTCAGTGCTGCTAATACAATGTTTAGTACTAAACTGTTTGAACCCATACCGTTTTCGAGGCTATGTTGAGATGTTGGGTGGTAATGGAAGGAGGATTTGGGAGGTTAGGATATGAACCAAAAAGCAGAATATTCTATTTGTCACAATTTATTGATGCTAGGGGACAGGGAGGAGAGCTGGAGGGTTATGTGGGGTTAAGAGGCCTCAGGTGGGGAGACGGCATATTGAAACCTGGCCACTACTGCACAGGGAAGACAGAATTCCCACTGAATGCACAGGGGATGAGCAGCTGCCGGTACTCCAGGGGTAGGTGTCGTTCCACAAGCACATACAATGAGACTTGGTCAGTGATCAGGCCCTGCCTGCAGCAGAGGAAGAGAGGGGTGTAGGGAATCAGTACCAGCACTCCCACACCCAGCCTTCCTCTTCTGCTTACTCACCGTCGCATCAACAGTTCCAAGTCTTCTGGCCTCACAGTCTTTCGGCCAGCATGAGCAGCAAATACCTCCAGGTCATTGCAAAGGTGCTGGAAATACTTGTCTAGGCTGCCAAGAAGTTTGGGTTACAGCAGACTGAACGGTCTGTTCATAATCTGAGAGGCCCCACTTTCCATCCAGGTGTCCAAGACTCACCATTTCTCCACCATTTCAAAAGCCTTCCTCTCCATGGGCATCTTAGCAAAGAAGCTGAAGAGTTTTGCATAGTGGTTCAGTCCAGCCTTGTAGGAATCTTGACGGGGCCTGGAGCCAGCAGTTCGGGGTCTGGGGGTAACCCGGGCTGACACAGGCTCCCTAGTCTCTGAAGACAAGCTGGGGGCAGGAATGGCAGAGATGGTTAAACTGCTTTACTTGAGAAGGTCCCTAATAAGGGCAAGTCCTACTGACTCCTGATAAGACTGAGTCCATGTGCTCCTTAGCTTGGACCAGCAATCTCAACCATCTACTGAGAAGCAGTGGACTTGGGACCACACAGAAAGTTGGGTCCAGTGTTTCCCTGGACCCTGTTTGTCCAGTCTGGATACAATGTCCAAGTCTAGCCTCATCATATACAATGGTACTTGCTCAGGCCTGCGATCCCTTGGCCTCAGAATGAATATTTTCTCCCCTCAGGAGTCTTATCACTGCCTGTCCTGATTCTGCTAATCCTCCTTCGGGAAGCCCTGAATACACACTGACCTAGGCACATCTACCTCACCCTAGCTCCCGTAAGCTCTTGGAGGTAGGCATCAGGATCAGATATGCCCTTGGGAAGTATCTCCCCATACTGGCTCAGGCTGCTGTGCTGGATAATCATCTGCATACCTGTGGAAAAGGGGATGACTGTGCGCAAGGTACCTAATGCTGACTTCAGTGCCTGGCCCTTTCCCAAGAGGCCCATGAGTAACAGGGTCATGGAATCTTACACTGCAACATCAGGCGGTGGGGCTGGCTCAAGAATTGAATGCAGTCGCTTGGCCTGAAGGAACCTGGGTGTACTGGATGCCAATTGTGGACTTGCTGCAGAGAAAGGGTAGGGTCATAGGAAGCTCACATTTGACCCATCTCACCCAGTTATACAGGTCCAGTAAAGTCTTTTCCTGTTTCTCAAGAGCTTCAACTAGCTCCAGCTAAACAAGTATCCCTCAGAGTCTCCCTGGCTCCCTACCCAGAAACAATACAGGCAAGCCCCTTGTGTGTGCAGGGCCTGAACACAGCTGTTGCCATTTACCCACTAATCCACATACTAGGCTTCTTACCTGGCCTGTCAGAGGTGTTCTCATCCTCTGAAGATCCTTCTGGCTCCTCTGCCTCCTGGGATTCCTCTGCTTCCATTACTTTTGAAACAAAGCAGGCCAAGGCTGTGGCTCCAAGAAGGGTAAAGATGGAGCAGCAAGGCAAGCCCCACTCATTGAGGAAAGACCAAGTCAGAGGCAGCACCAGGGCACTAATGTGAAATCTTCTGGTCCAACACTGACACTGTTTTGGGTGGAGGAAGAACCTCCAGCCAGAATGCTTTGGGGAACACAGTGCTAGGGCTTGAGGAGGGAAAATCAACAGTGTTAACTTGTCCAAGCTAAGCTTGGCTCCAGGCCACCTGCCCTACATACTCACTGTGGTTCTGTAGCCCAGGTCCACTGCTCTGTGTCCTGTCCCCCATAGTCCTCTCAGCATCTTCAGTACCAGTAGGAAAGGGGTTGGGCAGAGAGCGATGTACACTGGGGGAGCAGCCAACCAAGGACTGTGAGAATGGCTGGGTGTCTTCCAGTACAGTGTCCGATGGCAGATTTGCAATAGGGGTTTTAAGGCTGTCACCTGAAGATCAAGAGCCAGCTGGCATTCAGTGTATTAAAGGATAACCTGCTGATACTGAGTTGCCAGGGTCTGAGCAATTGGCCCCATGGGTGTGCCCTGACTGAGTGGTCTCAGAGAGAGATGACCTACACCCTAAACTTCATCTCCCTTCCACTGCTTTCATTGCTTACCTTCCTGCCTTTGGTCCACAGCTTGCCCACCTGCAACTGTTTACCTTACCTGTACTCTTCACTTTCCTTCGGCCCAGAAATTTTCCTACTCTGATAAATTTGACTTGTCTTAGGGAATCAGGCTCCCAGGTCAGCTCTAACTGGCTTGCTGATCATGAATCCGCCTTTCATTCTTCCAATGAGTTTCAACCACCAGACCACACCCCTTTCCTACCCTACCCCTGTAGTTCAAGGATTTGAGATTCTGGAAGAAATGGAGACACTCAGACTGAGCTCCACCAAGGCCAGTGCCAATAACCATGGAAAGACATAGACCTATTAGCCAGGCTCAAATGCTATCTTTGATTCCACCAAGAGGGGTACAACCCCAGAGTGAGGAGTATCTCCAATCTGTCATAGGGAAGTACCTTCTCCCAAATGCTGAAAGGCAAAATCTCAACCTTACCTGGAGGAGCCAAGGCCAAGGAATTATCTTGCAGATCCTGCAACAAGGCACCCACATCTATAGCACGGGGGCGGGGAGGTCTGCGAGCCAAACCAGGTCTCCTCACTGACTGTGGCTTAAGAGGTGTAGCAAAAGTCAGGTTGAGGGAGCTGGTGGTAGGGAGGAGGCAAGAGGAAAGTCAGGTACGTGAGGCCCAATGTCCCCAAAGGAATGCCCCTATCTGCCCTTGGGGTTCTCATCTTTTAGAATGTAGTCACAAGTGTGTGAGGCTAGAACCAGCAAGGATCATATGGCTAGATTCCATCAGTAAGAACCTCTCTCCCCAAGCCTCTACTCCATCAACCCCCAGAACAGGGAATAATACCTGGTAAGGGATGAGGCATCAGCATTTTCAGGATGCTCTGTCAGTGACCAAAACGAAGATGTAAAAAGAAGAAATCACGGTAAATTATTAGAGTCCATGAAAGCTCTCCCTCAGGCCTCCTTAAGCCTCTTCAGAAAACAGGAGGCAGAGGACAGCAACAGGTGGTATCCTAGGCCTTACCTTGCAAATGAGGCAGCCCCTGGTCTACTTCCTGCTGAAACACTGACAATCTCAGCCTCTGCTTCTTCCTGCCAGAGGCTGGCAGACCTGCAGCCAGGGTTGTGGGGGGCTCAAGTTCAGGAAGTTGTAGCTCCAGGCTATGAGGACAGATCTTATCTCAGACAGGCAAGGAAGCCCAACTTTGGCATTTGGAACCAAGAGGTGCCCAGACCAGAACAACTCAACAGCCCAGCCCAGGAGGAAAGTTCACTGTGTACCTGCCCTGACTGCTTTCCCTTCTGGAGGGTTGGATCACCTGCAGTGCTGGCACTGGCTTCACCACGGACTCTGGCATGAGGATGGAAGATTCTGGGGCTGCAGAACAGCAGAGGCTTCCTTGAATGAGGGTTAACGCAGGATTGGTGCCTATCTCTGCCTGGCAGATTAGTGCCCACTCACCAGTTATTAGGATGTTCTTTACCAGAGTCCGGGGTGTCTGTTCCTTTAGGTTACCAATGACTTGAATGTGGGCCAGTCTGCCAATAGACTGTGGGTGAAAGCATCATGCAACTAGTCTGTTTTTTCGTTGTTGTTGTTTTGTTTTGTTTTTTTTGCCTGGGCAGTCCTTCAAGATGGGCTCCAGAGCAGAAATAGACCTGATAGCCCCAAGAAGGCAGTCTGGGCCCTATAGTCATCAGTGGACTGGGCACTTACCCTGACTCCATGGGAACGCTGTTTGGCAGATGTCTTTGTTCTGCTACTCAGCCTCCTGGAGGAAGATGTTTTAAGTAGGGCTCTCTGGGCACTGTGTAAAGACCAATTTTCTAAGAATTATGTAAAGGAATTGAAATGACAGGCTATATGATGCAGAGACATGCTTTCACCAGGGGTCTTGGTTTAAAGCCCTTTTCTCTTAGAGATAAGAACCCAGAAACCACTTGAGCCTTCCATAGCCTCTGTGTCAACAGGGGTGTATGTGTGTGAAAGAGAACTATTAGGTATGGGAAGAAAGGGACCATGATTGATCCAGAGGGGTACTGAAGAAGCCTTCACAAAGTGACTTTAGCAGAACCATAAAGGATAAGTTGGGATTAGCCATACAGACAAGAGGAATATCGGAAGAGCTTCCATTCCAAACACTTTTAAAAGTCTGAAGGCTATTTAAGTATTCTTAATCCTTTTGATTACTTGTCAGGATCTGATGGGAGACTAAAATGGGTCACCCAATTCTGGCTCCCCAGTCCAGTAACTCTCAGAATCACATAAATATTCCCTGAGCACAGGTTCTATCTCTTCACTCATAGGTAAAAAAATCTATCATGAATGACTTCCCACTCCTTTATAAGGGAAAGGACTGAACTGTCTCAAATTCCCACTTCTGCACCCTCTGTCCCATGAGATAACCACAACCCTCTCCCAGGGTCACTCCCTCCAAGTCAGGACAAATTCCTGCTCCCTAGTAAAACATCTTTCTAGTTCCTGTCTCCCAACTTCTGCGAAGGCTGTTCTCTCTAGTTCCGTTCCCATCTTTCAGCTGGAAGCTACAGAGTAGGGCTGAATGTGCAGGAAAAGGTGGGGACCACCCGGAAGGCAAGGGCAGATGTCTGGACACACCCTGGGTGGTGTGGGCCAAACAGCCTAGAAAACTGAGCAAGTATCCTTCTGACTCCAGAAGTCGAAGACTCCGAGAGTGCACTCTGTGGTCCCGAGGCCTGGTTGCCTGGAGCTCCAGGTGCCTGGAGCTCCAGGGTAGGGGCACAAACAGCTCGGCCGAGCCAGGCTAGGGGAGTGGAGCAATTCTCGGTGCCCAGAGCTCTGCTTCTCTCTGGGACTGTTGCCCTCTCCAAATGGGGTTGATGTTGGCTCCCACCAAGACCCCACTCCCGGGTCCTTCTAATTGCGTCGCCTTCCCATACCCAGCCCCGGAACTCCGGGGTCGCCGCGGGGTACGCGAATCCGCGTTATCCAGCACGCGCTGCAGGACCGTGCGAATAGTAGGCTCGCTGTCCCAGTTGTCGGCCATCCCCACCGCCTCCGGCTTTCGCAACCGCCCAGGAAACTGCCGATGCTGCGTTCCCGCCGCCGCATTTAAGGAAGATATCGCGATGCTTCCGCACAGCCCCACGGGAATTGAAGTTTTAGCCTTACCCGCGGTGCGCCGCGCGTACCTGGGTGATTGCTAACTATAGCTTTGGAGGCAGCCTTTCCAAACGTAAGGCTGGGCAACTGTATGCTCCACTCCAAATTTTGGTTTCCTCATCTATAAGATAAGGCTGAAACCCACCTAATAAAGATTCGTGTCGGGACGGGTGTTGGGGACTGAGCACCCAGGGGTGCTCCTACCGCGGAGCTACATCTCCAAGCCCTTTCTAAAATTTTGATTCAGAGTCTCGTTAAATTGCTGAGGCTGACTTAGAATTTGCGATCCTTCGGTCTCAGCCTCCTAAATCGCAGAGATTACAAACGTGCGCCACCTCGACTAGTGCATAGGCATATTTGTGTTTGTCAGTAAAACAAAACAAACGTGTGATAACCCACACCAGTAATACCAGTAATTCAGTAGGGAGACTAAGAAAGATGGCCAGTAAGTCAGCCTTGGCAATTTAGCGAGACCTTATGAAACATAAATAAATAAATAAATAATTTAATTGCTGGGATCCGGGCGCGGTGACGCATTCCTGTAATCCCTGAGACTTGGATCGCAACTTCCAGACCAGCCTAGCAATTTAACGAGCCAATTTAGTGAGACCCTGTCTCAAAATAAAAAATAAAAATGACTGGGGATGTAACTCAGTGATAAAGCACCCTTGGGCTCAATAAGTACCAAAAAATTAAAAGTGCTGGGCTGGGATATTACTCAGCGGTTACTTTACCCCTGGGTTCCATCCCCATATTTAGGGGTGTGGGAGTGGGGAAGGAGCAAAGAAAAATTAGATTCTAGCTTCTGAAAATAATAGAACTGCCTGGCGGGTGCAGCACACCTGTAATCCCAGCAACTTAGGCAGGAGGATCACAAGTTCAAGACCAACATGGATAATTTAGTGAGACCTTTTCTCAAAAAAAGTAGGGAGGGCTGGGGTTGTGGCTCAGTAGTAGAGCACTTGCCTAGCACGTGTGAGGCACTGGGTTTGATCCTCAGGAACACATAAAAATTAATAAAGTAAAGGTATTGTGTCCATCTACATCTAAAAACTTTTTTAAAAACTGTAAAAGGAAAGCATACCAATACTCCTTGCTTTAAAAAAAAATATTTGTCATTTATGCCTGATCTCTTTGTTATGTGACATTTTTTTTTTCAATAGTGGGGATAGACACCAGGAATGATCTACCTATGAGTTACATTCCAGTCTTTTCTAACGTTATTTTATTTTGGAAAATAAAAAAAAAAAAGGGGGAAAGGTATTATCCATAAATCCCCCGGGGGTTGGCCTCAAACTTGTGATCTTCCTGCCTCAACCTCCCAAGTACCTAGGATTACAGGTGTGCACAACAATGTTGGCTATCTGACTTAACTTGCTAGGTCTTTGCAGTCACATTTTCATGGTCACTACCAAACACCTAAGCCCAGGTTTTTGTTATTTTTTTTTTTAATTGTGATTCTGAAGATTTTTTCTTTGTTTTTGTTTTTTTTTTCTTTTTTTTAATTTATATTTTTAGTTATTGGCAGACACAACATCTTTGTTGGTATGTGGTGCTGAGGATCGAACCCCGGCCGCAGGCATGCCAGATGAGCGCGCTACCACTTGAGCCACATCCCCAGCCCTTTGTTTTGTTTTGGGTTCTAGGAATTGAGTCTAGGGGTGCTTTACCACTGAGCTATATCCCCAGCCCTCTTTTTTTTTTTTTTTTTTTTTTTAATTTTGAGACACGGTCTTGCCAACTTGCTCAAAGCCTGGCTAAGTTGCTGAGGCTGGCCTTGAACTTGTGATCTTCCTGCTCAGCCTCCTGAATTGGTGGGATTAAAGGCATGCACCAAGGTGCCCAACTGTTTATTTTAATCATGATAGTTGGGTGTAATGCCCATGCCTATAGTTCCAGTACTTGGAACTATGAGATAGAAGGATCAAGAGTTGAGGCCAAGGGCTGGGGTTGTGACTCAGTGGTAGAGTACTTACCTTGCACACGTGAGGCACTGGGTTCGAGCCTCAGCACCACATGAAATAAATAAGTAAAACAAAGATTTTGTGTCTGTGTTTAACTTAAAAAAAAAAAAAGAGTTGAGGCCAGCTATGTACAGTACACACATCTGTAATCCCAGCGATTCAGGAGGTTGAGACAGGAGGATCACAAATTGGAAACCTGCCTAAGCAATTTAGCAAGACCCTGTCTCCAAAAATAAAAAGGGCTGAGGGTATGGCTCAGTGTTAAAGCACCCCTGGGTTCAATTCCCTCCCTGAAAGAAAAAAAAAAAAAAAAACTTTTTTTAATTAAATATTTATTTTTTAGTTTTTCAGCAGACACAACATCTTTGTTTGTATGTGGTGCTGAGGATTGAACCTGGGCCGCATGCATGCCAGGCAAGCACACTACTGCTTGAGCCACATCCCCAGCCCCCCCAAAATTCTTAAAGCTAACCTGGGGAAACCTGTCTCAAAATCAAGGACTAGGTCTGGGAATATAAGTATGTGGTAGCACTTGCTTACCACATACAAGGCCCAGGGTTCAATTCCCAGTACCACAAACACACAAAAAAGAAAGATCTGGGCATGTCTGAGTAGTAGATAAAGTACTTGCCTAACATACACAAGCCCCTGTCTCAGGCTCCCAAGCTGCTGGGATTATAGGGGTGCACCACCATGCCCAGTTTCGCCTTGATGTTTAAGTGTGACTCCTCTTACCATTTTTTCTTCCTTATTTATTTGTTTTTATTTCCTGATTATTATTTTCTTATTGACAGTTCTTTTTTTTAATATTTTATTAGTTGTTGATGGACCTTTATTTATTTATATGTGGTGCTGAGAATCGAACCCAGTGCCTCCCACATGCTAGGCAAGCACTCTACCACTGAGCCACAACCCCAGCCCCTTGACAGTTCTTTTTTTTAAAAAAAAATATTATTTTTTAGTTGTAGCTGAATACAATAGCTTTATTTATTTATGTGGTGCTGAGGATTGAACCCAGGGCCTTGCATGTGCTAGGCAAGTATTCTACCACTGAGCCACAACCCCAGCCCATATTGACAGTACCTTTCCTTCTCTAGTGAAGAGAAGAAGTTCCTTAAGACGTTTTTTCCTTTCTTTAAAAAAAAAATGTGTATTTTTTGGTTGTTGATGGACCTTTATTTTATTTATTTACTTTTTGTAGTTATAGATTGATAGTATTATAGGCGTGCACCACTATGCCTGGCTATATAGAGTCTTGTAAGTTCTAGGAAGGAATTTAGAAAGTATTCTAAATGGAATAGAAAGTCACTAGAGAGATTTAAGCAGAGGTATGACTTAACCAGATTTTCTTTGGTAGCCATGTGAAGAACAGATTGTAGAGTAGGTAAGATTGGAAACACAGACATGTGATAAGCTTCTTGCCTTTCCCCAGCAAATCCAGGGCCTTGCATTCCCTACCACTCAGATGCAACTCCCTAAATATGCTTTGAGTGTCTTAGAGTCTCACTAAATTGCTCAGGCTAGCTTTGAATTTGTGATCTTCCTGCCTCAGCCTCCTGAGTCTCTGAGATTACAGGCATGCACCACTTCGCCCAGTTCTCTTCAATTTTTAAGTACAGTGAATCTTAACATAGAGAGGAACTGAACCATATTAATAGCTGTATGACAATGAAAATACATAACAATGATCTTTTGCTAATTTTTATGTCTATACATCTTACAAAAATTTAAGCAAATATAAAAGTTTAGGCTTGGTAGGACATGCCTATGATGCCAGCTACTTGGGAGGCTGAGGCAGGAAGATCACAAATTCAAGGCCATCTTGGATGACTTCATGAGGCTCTTTCAAAATAAAAAATAAGCCAGGCACAGTCCAAATGTCTGAGTGTTAGAAATAAGTTACTTTTTCCCCCAAATTGTCCTGTATTTTTCTAAAACATTTAAAGCATGAGTCCCCTTTGTGATAAAGAACAATAAACGAACAAACAAACAAAAAAATAAAAAGAGGGGCTGAGGTTGTGGTAGAGTGCTTGCCTAGCATGCCTGAAGCACAGGGTTCAATCCTCAGCACCACATAAAAATAAACAAACAAGCAAATAAATAAATAAATAAATAAATAAAGGTATTATGTTCATCTACAATAAATAATAATAATAATAATAATAATAATAATAATAATAATAATAATAATAAATAAGAAGAGCCAATGGCATACTCCTATAAACTCCTCCAGAGGCTGAGGCAGGAGGATTGTCTATTCCAGGCCAGCCTAGGCAACTTAAGGAGACACTATCTCAAGATAAAATTTTAAAAGGGGATGGGCCTGTGGTTGGGGTTGTGGCTTAATGGTAGAGTGCTTGCCTAGCATGTGTGAGGCACTGGGTTTGATTTTCAGCACGGCCGATAAATAAATAAAAAATAAACCATATATATATATATATATATATGGATATATGGCTGGGACATAGCACAGCAGTAGGGCACTCCTGGGTTCAATCCTCAGTACCATAAAAACAAAGAAATTAAATAAATTAAAAGGGCTGAAGCTAGCTTAGAGAGGGTCCTGGGTTCAATTCCCAGTACCACAAGGGGGCGGGAGTGGGGGGAGTCAGGAAAAAGGGTGAAAAGGGGCAAGAAAAAAATAGGAGAAATGGAGAACTCTGCAAAGAAAGGCTAATTTGCAGGTAACTTCCATGTCTATTGCCTGGCTCCTCTCTCATTTTCACAGCCTCATTACGCTTTAAAAGATTTTCTCCCAAAGATGTCAAGGGAGAGAGAGAGGTATTACCTACAATGCAAGTCCTTTTACTTAAAACTCTTCGATGGTTCCCAGTTACCTGCAGAATAAAATACCAAATTCTCTAACATGGTCCAGTTTGTTATCTTTCAGCGCTTTTGCTACCCTGGCTGTCTGCTCCCATGCCCTTTAAGGGCCAAGAAAAGGCTACAACTTCCAATCAA